TATAATGAAAATTCCACAATTTCTGGTGACTTTAGCGAATAAAGCTCTAGACCAAATGCTTCACCGTTTAGGTTAACAGGAGTAAGCCGTGGAGACCTTCTCTATACCGAGAGAGGTGCTATACTGCTTAATCTACCCCACTCACACTTGATGTCAGCTCGCGTCAGGCGAGTGGTGTAGAGGTGAGGCCATACAAACATAAATTGGTCATTACCCATTTCCTCACCAGAATAAATATATATACATATAATGAAAAATGGTAAAGATGAAAATGAATATTTAATGTTACAAAGATGATTACTCTCGTTTTAGCATTTAATGATAGTAATCACAATGTAATATTAGAAAGATGAACAAATATGAAAGACATATACGTATATTATAACTGCATCTCGGCGTAACATTCTCTATACAATGTATTTTTTGTTAATATTTTTGGGTGTCTGTAACAGATTAACTGGATTTACATTATTTCATATGGGAAATATTACTTCAGTTTTCGTCCATTTTGGATTTCGTCCAGCGTTCTGGAACGGATTAAGGATGAAAACCGGGGTATTACTGTACCTTACATAGGAAATAATAAATTTTTATGGGAAATTACCAAAAACAAGTACAGTACAGTATAACAAGAATGTTATACATTCATGTTAACTTTGTATGACTATTTTTTGGTTATCCTAAGTAATTTACACATATGTTACTAAGTATGATAATTTGTGTAATTATCTGTGTGTACCTGTACTTAAATAAATTTATTTATTTATGCTAAGAAGAGACCTTCATACTGTAACTTCTAAACATCACTGCTAACAACGCATTACAGTAGACCATCGTTTAACACTGTAGTTATGTTCCTGAAAACACCGTGTTAGTTAAAACCGTGTTAGACAAACTATGAGAAAAATAGGGTTACATTCCTGTGAGCCCCCAAAAAGCCAAACAACTTTTTTAGACAAACAGATCTTATAAAAATAAAAGCAAATATGTAATTGTAGTGCATCATGATATATTACTGCTTAACACTACAAATGCAATAGGAATAATAGTATTTCTTACCTTAAATTGCGGGTAATGGTGTTTGTGGATGATTGTGAAAAGAGTGGATATGCATGGTGTGGCCCTACTGGGCTGAGGTGGATGGTTGTTGGTTGTCAGCATTAGTGGGTGGTAGAGGTTCTGGTACTAAAGTCGATGGTTGTACTGGAGTGTGCATAAATTCTGTAACGGATCTCTGGGCTCTTTTACCCTGCAGTACATTATACAGCTGATGGTAAGGCATCATCAGCTGGTTTAAACCCCATTTCAAAGCAATGCTTCTAGATTTGTCAGGGTCCTCTTCAGTAAAAAAGTCTGCAACTTTACCAATAATATGGAACTGCTCACGTTAACTGCTGCAATGTTAACTGTTTTTCTTCAGGTTCTTCTTCATCTTCTTCTGTTATGTGGCTCCCTTGTATCTGTGCATCGAGCTCTGCCAACATTTCCTCTGGACTCCTGTCTTCATCATCATCTTCTAAGAGCTTATTCACATCATTCATATCTTCAAAACCATCACCTGGTAATCTTGCCAGCTGAACAATTTCCTGAACCTGACTTTCAAGCAAGGGACCCCAATGGAAATAAAAGGACCCCATTGGAAATAAGTCACTCTGTCTGACTTTTTTGGGTTATCCTAGGTTCTCTACACATATGCTGCTATGTATGATAATTCTATGTAACTGTATTTGTGTATACCTGAATAAACTTACTTACTTACTTACTTACTTAGTGAAAGAATTAACTACAGAAGGCCATAACTTTCCCAAGCCTGCATTTAATGTTGACTGGGGCACTTCATTCCATGTACTTCTAGCACAGCTAATGGCATCTGCAATGTTAAATTTAATCGAGAAGCTTGGTACTGCCAGGTTGGAGTCAGGAGTCCATTGATGCAACTAGTTTTTTCATAACTTTTTTGTGTAGTTACACTTAAATGACTTAATAATTCCCGATACAGAGGTTGTATTAGAGATGTTGTATTTGGAGGTAAAAATACAACTTTTACATGTGGGGTCGCATCCGCAAAGGTTGTGGATGAGTACGGGAATTATCAAGAATGAAGAGAGCCTTGAATGCAAGGTTCTTGCTGTGCAGGTTTCATACTTATGTAATGCTTGATGCTTAAGTGATGCTTAAACCAGTAAATAAATATTTCCTCTGTCATCCATGCTGACTGGGTTGACCTCCAAATTACTGGTAAGGTGTTTTTATCTATACCTTTCAAAGCACAAGGATTCTTAGAGCGGTAAATAACCATGGGCTTACAACTGAAATCACCTGATGCATTACTGCAAAGGAGCAAGGTGAAGTGATCCTTTGCTGTCTTGAAGCCCGGTGCACTTTTCTCTTGCTGACTGATATAAGTTCATGTTGGCATTTTCTTCCAAAAAACACTCTTCTCGTCAGCATTAAACACTTGATGTGGCTCATAGCCACCTAAGAAATAATTTCCTGCAATTCAGCAGGGAAATTACTTGCTGCTGTACAATGGTGACTCGTGCATAGGCACTGCAGAACTGCAGCACCCCCTATTCTCACTTGATATTATTGATAACATTCAATATAATGAGTTGTTTTTCTTTAATTCTTTCTTTATACTTGTACATTATATAGTCCTTAAGCTTACTGTCAGTAGCCATCCCCTAGTACATGAAAAAATTACAAAAATCCTTATATGGAACTATGTGCTTCACAGTTCCAGCGACTCAGTATTTGGCTGATGTGCGCATGCTAACATGCCCAAGACACTGCACGCTAGGTAGAGAGAGCACTGTTGCTGACACAGTGCTGACCCTGTTGTGCAAGTGTAAGGTAGTGCTTCTTTCTGACTCAGCGATGTGTGTTTGTGCTTAAAAACCATGTACAGTGGTCCCTCGATTATCATCCGGCTTGATAGTCGTCCTTTTCGGGAATCGTCGCGTTATTTTCGTCCAAACATTGGCTCACAAATGGTCGGTTGACTCGCTAATCGTCGTTCGTCCTGGACGCGTACTCACGGCTCTGAGCCGCGTCGGCCTCCCTTCCCAACCAGTGTGCCTTGGTGCAAAATTTAACACAGACCCCTAAATTAATGTTGATCTCAGTTTCCACTTTAAAAAAACTTCTGAAATGGTAGAGAATCTTTTTCTGAAGGTAATGACACCAAAAGTATAAAATCTAAAGGAAAACTTACAGCTTATAAAATACACAGAATTCAGTATTTGGCCAATTTTATGCAAAATTCAAACAATTCAAGTTTAAAAACAGAGTCCAGAATAAACACTTTAAAACAACCATACCACAGGCAGGGTTAGAACCCGCAATCAGAGAGCCATAAAACTCCAGACAGTGGCTAACATGTCGGTCTGGAGTTTTATGACTCTGATCACAGGTTGTAACCCTGCCTGTGGTATGGTTTGTTTGCTATCATGTCATGATTTCGTGAGTCAAACACTGTAAACATTCCAGGCACTAATACAGTATTTCCTCTGTGCAACAGTCACATCCCCAAGCCTGTCCTATACGTAATACACTTGCTTTCCTTTTTGAATACATCACACAAAAAATCAAAGATTTACCCGGTGGCCTGGTGGCCAAAGCTCCCGTTCACACACGGAAGGCCCGGTTCGATTCCTGGCAGAAACATTTTGACACGTTTCCTTACACCTGTTGTCCTGTTCACCTAGCAGCAAATAGGTACCTGGGTGTAGTCGACTGGTGTGGGTCGCATCCTGGGGGACAAGATTAAGGACCCCAATGGAAATAAGTTAGACAGTCGTCGAATGACGCACTGACTTTCTTGGGTTATCCTGGGTGGCTAACCCTCCAAGGTTAAAAATCCGAATGAAATCTTATCTTATCTTATCAAATCTTCTCGAATAATAAAATATAACCAGGAATGATTTGTCATGGGTTATGGTGTCCCAATAACTGAATCAGACCTAGGCAAAAACCCATAAACAGATTGGGGAGTTTAGGAGAGGCCTTACCAGTCCTTGGAAATATTGGCAAAAACTGAATGTTTCTGCTACTTTGAAGCTGATTTCAAGCTACTTTTGGTTCTGAAGCCATTAAAATCATCTCTATTTCAGTCAAATGTCTTCCATGCTATCAAATAATACCAAGAAATAACCAATAAAAATTATAGAAAACCCCTCAAAGTTGCTATTTTAAACCCAAAATGCTCAAACATGCTAGTGGCTTTTGCTGAGCTTAACAATATTTTATTACATGTAAACTTTAGTTTATATACTACACAAAGAAATAAAAATTTTTTTTTTTTTGAAACATAATGTCAGAGTTTTGCTTTTCCTATCATGCACCATGTGAGGCAGGATTTTTTTTTATATTGTGCACACTCACCGCACAGACCCATTCTCTCATACCTACGACAAAATTTACAGCTCACAGATTATCTGAGTGAGCTGAGCTTATGACACAGACGTACGTGATGGACTCTGGCCTCAAATGACGTAGTTCTACATGACGGATATTCAAAGGGTTAACAATATTAGTAAAAATGCTGGCAGATAATGACCTGCCTGAAAATGCCAAAAGTTTCCCATCTACCAACATCTTTACTAATACATGTACTGCTATACAGCACCTATTAAATCTCACACAAGATTATTTAGGTACAGGAACACACAAGTAAACTTACACAAATTTAGGTGACTGATTATCATGCATAACAACCTGATAATCCCTTCAAGGACCCCAATGGAATAAAGCCCAGTATTTTGACAACAGTTTTATTTGGTTATTCTGGGTTACACTCAAGGTAAATAAACTTGTATAACCTCAAAACAAAACAAACAATTTTATTTCTATAAAGTGACGTACTGTACAGTATACAATTAAGATAACTGACATGTATAAAATACTTTTTTGTTAGTGTATAAATACCCCTTGTCAGGGAAAGCATTTACGGCATCATAAAAAAAAATATTTTTACTTTATCACCAAGTCAGTGGGCTCACCTTTAACAATATCAGTTACATTTTGATCATGTGTGTTCACAATCACTAAACTTGGATGAGAGTCCATGTTGTTGTTGTGACCGTCTTCACTATCTTCCTTGTCTTGTTGGGGGTTGTAAGGGCCACTGACACCTCACACAGTGTCCAACTCTGCCTCACATCTTGTAAGTCAGTAAGTTTTTATTCAGGTACAAGTACACATAAATAGTTACATAGATTATAGATTATGTAATACAATTTTTGTTCCTGACAAGTAAGTGTTATTTTCCAACTCTTTTCATTACAAAACAATAGAAAATGCCGATTATTCCTTTTAAACTTTGGTTTTGTGGCTTACAGGATGAATTTTTTTTTGAGAAAAAATGGCTAAATTTCAATATTATTTGCTAGTTATGGATGTAAAACAAAAGCATATAATAAAATAAATAAAATTTACATAAAATAAAATTTACACAGATCTTATTTTAAACTTTCTGAAACATATTTACAAAGATAAAAATGAGCAGTTTTTCTAGATTTGCGAACATGCAACAAATCACTTTCCCGTTTAAGCCCCCAAATGTAGTCTCTCATCATGTTTTCATTATAAGATCCCTAATATTTGTGTTCAAAGTCCATTATATCTTGGTGGAAGTTGTGAAAATTTGTGTGGACTGCCTCGAAGTGAGTCGCCTACCCTGGCAAACTCTGTTGACACCGAGCTCTGAGGTGGGTACCTCAGCCTCACAAGTGGCTTATAGGACAGATTTTCACAAATGACTGATGTTGCAAGAAACTCGCCTGCATGCACGTATAAAGAACTAACTTACTTGGTGTTGCAGCATATATCCTGATCTTCAACTTCACTAAGCTTAGCCTTAGCCCCTTTGGACTTCCCCTCAGAAACCATGTGCAACCAGGAGCCTTAATTCCTGCAATATTCAATAGTTATTAGTGACCTGCCTGCACCTCAGAAATTCCTATATCCAAGAGGGTATGTATCCCCTAGTATAACTATGCAGACACGGACACTAGCTTCCAGACTGCCTTGAGACACTGGTACTTACTGGGCATGCTCTGCCAGCTGCAACACAGGCCCACAGATCAAACTCACTCACAATTCTCCCCAGACACTGGCCAGAAATCTACGAGATAAAGTGGAGGTCTTGTCTTACTGTATGGGCCTGACGGAGGAGGTCATCTATGGTACATCGAGGTGCCTCTACCAGATTTCTCCAGGTCTCAAATGTAAAGACACGTGGGGGGGGCGCCGTCTGCTGATCAAGGCACGTCTTGTCCAGTTGGTGTCTGTCTTAAGAAGAACGAGCTGGTCTCTCTTCCAGACCCTCGTCTCTTCGTTCAAACTAGGGCTGCCAGTTCTCCCTAGCTAACTTATCCTAGGGTTTGCCTACATTATCGGCCTATTACTACCTATGTTAAGGTCTTAGGTCTACATTATTATTATCTACAGTTGCCTTAGTAAACCTAATATTAATATACTAACAGTAAAACTACCTGCTCCTTCCCTGAAGGGTAAATCTATAAATAAATAAGTGCCTACCATCAATCGCCAACCCAGGGAGAAAAAATGTGTTTATTTGGGAGGGTTTAAGGGCCACCCAGCTCAGCCATTCCATTACGGCCATGCTGGATCTGTCCTGTGGAACTTTAGGTACCAAATAAGTTTCCACAGAAGTGCTCTCATATTCTCCTTGAAATTGTCAAGATGAGCATCAAGGATATGGACCTTAAGGGACATCCTACAGCCCATAATTGTAAGCCTTGTTGTTGCCCAGAAAGCCATGTGCTACAGCAACAAAACTCTCCCAGGCTTCCTTTTCCTTCTCTGTGAGCTTCTTTGAAAATACTGAGTACTCCATGATTTTCCTGACTCGTGGTCTAGTGAAGATGCCAGCCTTCACCTTTGCTTCTGATAGCTTGGGAAAGAAGTCTTGAAGATACTTGATACTCTTTGTCAGGAGCTGTAACAAACTGCTTCATTAGCCCTAATTTGATGTGTAATAGAGGGAACAGAACCTTTTGAGGATCCACCAATGGTTTATGTTTGATATAGTGTCTTCCTACTGAGAACTCAGTCCTTTGAGGCCAGTGCTTCCTCTGGTAGTGTGCCGCTCTGTCTCTACTATCCCAATGACAAAGATAACAGGGAAACTTGGTAAAACCTCCTTGGAGTCCCATAAAAAAATGCCACCATTTTGAAGTCTCCAATAACCTCCCAGCCATACTTATCGTAGCTCAAAGCTTCCAGTAGAAGTTTGACACTGTTGTAGTCCTTCTTAAGCTGCACTGAATGAGCCATGGGAAGAGATAGATACTTGTTCCCGTTGTGCAGAGGTACAGCTTTTAGGCTTCTGGAGGAACTGTCAATGAAGAGTCTCCACTCATTTGGATTGCATGCAATTCCAATTGCATCAAACAGGCCTGATACGTCATTGCAGTAGCACAACCTGTCTTCATTAGTGAAGAAGCTTGAGAAATGGTGACGTTTTCTTTGGCTTGTCACCTGCACACTTTCATCCACCAAGTCCCACTCCTTGAGCCTTGAAATAAAAAGCTCAGCATTTGACTTTGTCAAACCAAGATCTCTGATAAGGTCATTGATGTCTGTTTGGTTTGGGTAGTGAGGATTCCTCCCAACCGCTGCATCTGTGAGATCATAGTCTTGTTCACTGTGCTCTTCATTTTTCTGATTTGCTGTTTTCTTCTTCTGACGGTTGACTTCCTTCTGGAGGTGTAGGTGCAGGAAGATCAGCACTGTGTGGTACTGGTGCAATAGAAGAGGGAAGGTCTGAATCAGAAACAGCAGGTGCATTTTTCCCGGTTCAGTGTTGGGAAGGATCCACCAGGCAGAAGTAGCAGTTGGTTGAGTGATCAGTGGGTTCACGTCACATTCTAGGAACAGCAAACTTCATGGCTCTTTTTTCTCCTCTATACCTGAAATATTGCACGTTTATGAGACAGAAAAGACACCAGCAATCGCACCATCATGTAAAACAAATACAGGCTTCCATTTTGCACTCGTCAGTATGGTAGTACCTCCCTGGGCGGTTGCTGTCTACCAACCTACTACTACTACTAATATATATATATATATATATATATATATATATATATATATATATATATATAATATGTGTGTGTGTGTGTGTGTGTGTGTGTGTGTGTGTGTGTGTGTGTGTGTGTGTGTGTGTGTGTGTGTGTGTGTGTGTGTGTGTCGTGCCGAATAGGCAGAACTTACGATCTTGGCTTAAATAGCAACGCTCATCTTGCCATATAGGATAAGTGAAAATTTGTGTATGCAATAATTTCGCAAAAATCATTTTGAACCTAACGAAAAAAGTATTTCATTGTGTTTGTTTAGTATTAAATTATTGTAAATGTATTTAACATATATTCAGTTGGGTTAGGCTAAAATAAATTGCGCTTGTTATAATAAGGTTAGGTAAGTTTTCTAAGATTCTTTTGGTGCAAAATTATAAATTTTTACATTAACATTAATGAAAAAAATATGTCTTTAAACGTATAAGAGAAAATTTTAGAAAGGACTTAATTTTAAATGAGTTCTTGCTAATTGACCAGTTTTACCTATTAGGCACGAGATGTATAATATATAATATAAAATATATATATATATATATATATATATATATATATATATATATATATATATATATATATATATATATATATATAATTATTTTTTTATTAACACATCAGGACCCCAATGGAAATAAGTCCCTCTGTCTGACTTTTTTGGGTTATCCTAGGTTCTATGTAACTGTATTTATGTATACCTGAATAAACTTACTTACTAGTCTCCCACCAAGGCAGAGTGACCCGAAAAAAGAAAAACTTTTATCATCATTCACTCCATCACTATCTTGCCAGAGACCAGAGGCACGGTTACACTACAGTTATAAAACTGCAACATTAACACCCCTCCTTCAGAGTGTAGACACTGTACTTCCTATCTCCAGGACTCAAGTCCTGGTAATGTAAATATATGTTTGATGAATGTATATGGGTTATCCTGGGTGGCTAACCCACCGGGGTTAATAATCCGAAGAAAATCTTATCTTATCTTAAATATATCATCATACATTATAAGAAAAATTATTTGGATTATATAGTCTACTAAGTGTATAGGTACATTTTTTTACATTAGATATTGTGAATTATTATTATATGTGAGTAAATTACCTCCAGAAGGTTTACAGGACATTACTTGAATTATTACCTATAAGTAATTTGGGTGAGGTAAGTGGGACTGTCACAGCATGTCGCCAAACTGTCACTCCCTCGATGTCTCCTTTTGACTACCACCCACAGGATGGGTATGGGGTACTCAATAAACACATTAAACTAACTAAACCCTCGATGCCCATTCCCTATCACTCTCACCAATAGCTAGACCTGACATTAAATTAATAATAATATTAAAACCAGCTACTCTAGTAATTAAGGTTGTGGACTGTATATAATTAGGCTTGCTGGGTGCACAAAATATAACTGGTATTAACACTTACCATTTAATTACCGTAGATGGATCACACCACAGTACCTGCCTAACACCTAGACCCCACACCAGCCAGCTAGAGATCTAAATGCAAGGACTAATGGTGCACTTCCCTATGTGAGTGATGGTGTTTTCCTCATCTTCAACCATTTATGCATAATTCTTGAGGTCTCACAAGTTCTCTGTCCTAATCTTCAGCAGGGGATGTTAACACAGGTTCCTATTACAAATTCATGCTGAAAACTCCCAATTTGGCCATTGAGAATGCCTGATCACATTGCAAAACTCAGTCCAGCATTCACACATTACAAATGACATCTCTCCCCAGCATCACTCTGCAGCTCTACTACACCCCCCTCACTCGAAATTTCTTGAAAGGACCAAATCAGCATCATATTTTATTACAAAATTATTATATTATTCATTTACTATGTCGTTTATGCAGATTGTGAACAACAAGGGGCCCAACACTAACCCCTGTGGACAGTGGCAGCTCATGTATAAGCATTGTGGAACTGCAGCACCCACTATTTTCACTCGATATTATCAATATCATTCAATATAATGAGTCTTTTCTCATTAATTCTTTCTTTATGCTTG